GTTCCTGGGAAGGGTTCAGAAGAGGCAGAATAGACACAGCTTCACAAATATATATAGGTTCTTTTTCGTCATAAGCCTTATTCCCACATACCCTCCCACAACTTCCGACCTTTCATGAAGAGGCCGCCACGTGGAGATTTTCCGAGTAGACGCCGTACAGCAACTGCGTACAGCAGCTGCCTCAAAAACGCAATGCGGTATTCAATGGTATTCATTATAATCCCAATTAAAATCTCAAGATCCCGCTTTGCACGACTTTGCCGTTCTTCAAGCCGCTCTTGCAGCTAAAGAACCTAATGATTAGCCCTGCAGAATTGGGTTTCCCCATCGCCCATGTAGTTCAGTTGATGCAAAAGAAACGACGCATCTGGATCGATATGGATCTCTCTTGACAGATCAGTGCAGTGCCTAAGCTCTATGAATTGGCTCATCCGGACGAATGACCGGTTACTTCAAATGGGGACCCGCAGAAAGCCTTTGCCTGCTGGTCAACTCAAATCTCATCAAGATCACGCACAGGCATCCTCCGTATAAAGAGAAAAAGGCACCTTTATTGGGGGGGGGAGAACCACTCGCCTGCAGATCTTGCTGCTCAAAAGCACTCGCCTTGCTCTGACTTGGTTTACTTTCGTCCAGTGGGCTCCCAGGTTGAAGCATTTGTTCGCGGCGTTTTACATCGTTGCCTTTTGTACATCGTTCTTGTCCCACTAACACCGGACGGTCGGACGGTCGGATTTGGTTCGGTTTTCCATGCGGCATGGGACCGAGGTAGAAGGGCCAGGGACCGAACGTTCACTTCGATGGTTGGAGAGAGGGATCCCCGAGGTCCCCTCAACCAGGCCCGTCCTCGCTTTCCGAGTTCACGCGCGCAGCTGCGTTGACGCGCGCGCTCGCGGCGTGACGAGGCAAAGATCCTCCGAAGTTGGCGGAGCGTTTCCTGCTCCTGGATGATGTGGTGGCCAAGGACCACGTGTGTCTTTTTCGGATCGGGTGATTTATGTTCGCATCCTCTGGGGAATATGTCCTTCTCCGTTCCTGAAGCAAATCCAAGCGTGCGTGGGTGTGCGTGGGAGCGGGTTTGGTAGAATTCAGGAGAGCTGTGATGGAGAGCTGTGGCGTTCCAAGTGAGGTTTCCAATGATCCCTGGTACCTGGCGGACCTGGCAAGTCGGATTTGACCACTTCACCGAGTAAGCTCAGACGCCGCTGACTTTGGGGTTTCATCTAGGGGGACAAGGAAGCAGCTCCCAAAGCATGTCATCCGGGTGTATGCCGGCATCCACTCATGGAGTATGGCTGCTTGTTGGCATCCGAAGGAGAAGTCCGTTTCTTTGAAATCTCTTTTCAAGACTTTTCCAGGCTTTGGGTTTCGTGGGGACCTTTTCATTCTTCAGAATAGGAGAGTCTCCAATTCGAGGTCTCGTAGGCATGGCAAGCATTTCAAAACACGTCCGGGACTTGTGCCACCCACCTCAGCTGTTCAGGAGTTGGGTGATTTGGACTATCCTTGGAACCTCAAGGCGTGGCGCCTTAAACAGCCGCGTGTGTTCAGGGTCCGGCGATGAGTCGGACGTGTGTGGGAAACACTGGCCGCGCCAGGCTGACAGTGGGGGATAGAAGCAACAAGCACCCAACGGCCAACGGTACCCAAGGATGGAAAACAAGCCATGTGGGATAGAAACCAGGAACCAATGCAAGGATCCGCGGGTATAGAATCGACGTTGGTATAGAATGCAACGATCCCTTCAAGACGCTAATATTAGTCTTGGGAGCAGCGGCATATAATGTTGACCTTTGATTTATCGGTAGGCCCCCCCCCTGAAAGACCTCAAATAGACTTAAAGACTCTTTTCATATGTTTAGTATTGGTAGAGATTTTTCCTTTAGAGAATCTATAAAGGAAAGGAATAGAAGAAAGGAATCCATTGAGGACCCATTGATTCAGCAGGAATCCTTTGGGACATTTTTTAAAGGCTGGATTTGGGATACCTAGGGCCAGGGGTGAAAACATTTAGCTTTATTTGGGGGAATTTATTAATCTGTTCTGGGATTTGTTTAGCTTTATTCAGGGGATATTTATAAATCCTAGGTGGACATTCTCAAGAAAGAGAAGCATCGGATGAAGAGCAGGAAGACGATATATTACCTGGTGTTGTTGAACGTGATCTTTTCTTTACCCTATGGTTCAATCATCTCTGGTCGCCCCTTCTGGGGAACATTTCTTAATTTTTTCCCAGGTTCCTGGACAGCAAATCCAAGATTCATTAATGTTTGGGACCCACCACCACAGGATGTCTGGAGATCCATTTCTCCACCCTTTCTCGTTGGCCATGGCGCTGAAAAACACCGCACCAGGCTATTGAGGATCGGATCGCGGAGTACAGTTCGGTGTCTGAGGCAAGAAGGTCACGGGGAAACAATTGGGAAGACAGGACTAGTCATTCACATTCTCCTTTTGGATCGCGCTCCTTCGGACATCTCTGAAAGCCCCTAACCAGACCGCTCCTGGATCCTGAGCTGTTCCTTTCAGCCTTTGGATGAGAAGCACCGGACGCTGCCTTTGGATCGATCGTGGGATGGAGCTGTGCCGAGCGCTGCCGGCCTTCGTGCCGTGCCTGAGCGCTTCGGCATTCGACAGCGATTTGGTCATAAGTCTTGACCCATGAACTGCTTTTGCATTCGTTATGTGCGACGTGGCTTTTTCGTCGCAATTATATACCAGCACCCTCCAACAGGTGGTTTTGGGACACCTCTTAACCTCTAAGAGGCTGTTTATAGACACCTGTTGGAGGGTGCTGGTAAGCAACTGCCATTAATGAAAAAAGATTTCATCCCACCTTTTGTGGGACCGAAGAAGTCTTCGGCGCATGTCACCATCACTGAAGAGTGCCCTCGACAGGTTCTGCATGAGCTCTCTCAAGATGACCACGGCTTCTGTGAGGTTTTACCACCTTTTCGGAGATGCCAGGTTCTGTCTTTGAATGCCACAGAACGCTGATGAGGTTAAGTCATTGGGATTTTTGATCATACTGGCCACATTGCGGTTTGGCATGTTGGAGGTTGAGTTGCGGTTTGTAAGTTGATTCGTGGGTCATGATGATGCGCCCATATTGGATGTTGAACAGCTTGGCATGTCTCGTTGCCACTGAAAGGCTCCAGAGCCAACGTCCAAAAGCCGTGTCGACTCGGAGCTCCCCTCGAAGTGGACAGCCGGACAGCCGCCACAACCTACGGGCCCGTCTGCGATGGGAAGACACCGCAGACACCGCCACCCCGCCACCCCCGAAACAGGACACCGCGATCCGGGGGGGTCACGGGCTCCTCCGGTGCTTTCTTCTTCGTTCCGTCAGACGGAGTCGCGGAGAGCGGGTCGACGCTCGTCGAGGCCATCAATCTTCAGCTGTCAGCGCGTGTGATGCAAAATTACAACGACTTTGTGACGGGTATGCAGATGGCTCCTTGGTTCAAAAGGGGAAGGTCCCTTTTCAACAACATATCTGGTCAAATAGCAGGGTGAGGCTAGGTGTGTTCATGTGTGACATGACTTCTTTGGCAGAACAACATGCAGTGCAGCATGTGAAGCTTTGGATGGTGGCGGATCTTTTGAAGCAGGACTTCGTCTATGGAAAACATGGATTTTTTCATGGAAATCATGGCACACAAACACTTTCATGTTCATCTCGCTTTCCAGAGATTCGTCCGGCCAACGCTCTCGTCCACTGCTCAGGTGCAATCGGTGGAGACAGAGCTGTCACTCATCGGCGCGGCACTTGGTTCGGAGCACGGTGTGGGTTCCTTGGGGCATAGGTATCAAAAAAAAATAAAAAGAGCATTAAGAAAAACAGTAAAAACAGGATCAAAAACAAAATAAAAAGCGCAGCAAAAAAAAAATCCTTGATAGGCCTCTTCTGCTGCTCTCCTGGCCTTTTGGTCTGCGGGTCCTCTGGTAATGTGGTCCCTTGGTTCTTTGGTCCCTTGGTCCTCTGGTCCACTGGTCCTTTGGTCCCCTGGTCCCTTGGTCCTTTAGTCCACTGGTCCCCTAGTCCTCCGGTCTCCTGGTCCTCTGGTCCTGTGGTCCGCTGGTCCCCTGGTATCCTAGTCCTTCTGTCTCCTGGTCCGCTGGTCTTTTGCTCTCCTACGGCGCTCGTCTGTCGATCTCCTGGTCCCCTGCTTGCGCAAATAGAGGCTTGATTGCTTTCTACTAGAGGCAGCTCCCTGGGAAGAAAGTAGGTACCCAACGATAAGGTAGCCGTCCAGTCATTGAGTAGCCCTACTCGAAAAATGGTTCACCAGCTTGGTGAAAAAGACCCTGTACGGCTGCGACCGCAATGCACCCATTAGAAATAGACTGGTCCACCACATCTTTTTCCTGAGGAGATTCCCATCCAGGCACCTTCCGATGCTGCTACACCCATTCCAAACACTTCTATGCTCTGAGCGCTCCTGCTGCTGCTGCTGCTACTGCTACTGCTACTGCTACTGCTACTACTACTACTACTACTACTACTACTACTACCCCAACCATCCTCAGTGGGCTAGAATATTTTTTTTGATTACCTTTCTATTTTTTTTGATCCCCGTTGAATATTTTTTTGATTCTATTTTTACTTTTATTTTGATCCCTTACCCGTTCCTTGGGGCGAGGGCGCAGACTTCCAGACTTGTGTTCAGGAACCCACAAAGCACGGGGGCACTCGACCTGCAGACTCGTGCAGACGGGCACGTGCCTTGAAGGCACGTGCCTTGTCCCGGAATTCCATTGGAGCCCCAAGTCCCAGCGCAAAAAAAGCCGTTGTCCAAGAAAGATGGACAGGAAAGCTTTGGACTGTGTGATCTGTGTGGGGAACGCATCAACTCCTCAACAGATTGGCTGAGAGTGAACTGAGAATGGTACTAATTATTCCCTAGGGCTCCAACCATATCCTCAGAAGGTGGTTAGGCCCCCCAAACCCATCCCAACCATCTTCTCAGGAGGCAGCTGGAGCCCTAGGGATTAAGTGTTCGTTGTTCTTTTGGGCTGAGAGTGAACTGAGAAGACTTGCCACATCCGAGATCGGAGGTTGTGAGACAACTGCTGGAGCACCATCCGCAATGATGGTCGACTTCTCATTCTCATCCAGGGACGCCACCATCAGCCCTTGAGGTCAGTAGTGAACAACGGAAAGGCCTCCTCCTGCCTCAGTGTTCGCATTGGCTTGCCCTCCATTTAGATTATTGTCTTTGCCAACAGTTGCTAGGTGTTCTTTGTTGGATTTTGTTGTTTGATTTCCCCTAACTCCAAATCATTCACAGACACATCATCAGAATCATATCCGCACCAGCCGCCTGGCACGCAACATGAACGTCAGTCAGCCTGGCTGCAGGCGTCCTGATCAAGAATGGCCGGCGGAAATTGCAGATCCATGACCAAGGCTGTTCACGTTCGCAGCGATGTCGCTCATCGGTGGACCCGAGGGGTACTTGTTGGACTCGACCTCGATTCGCCTTCTTCGCCTCACCTGGTGGCGCGGCTCGCGGGTTGGCAGAGCCAAAACGAAAAAAGCCGCCTCAGACGTCGTGGAGGCTCAAGGGTCACTGGTGTCTGCAGGCATCCTACGTGGATCGATGCGCATCACGTCGGTTCCCCAGAGGGACCCGACCGGGACAGGAAAGCGTGGGCGCGAAAGAGTTGAGGCGCGAAGGAGTTGAGGCACGAAGGAGTTGAACGATGTTTCGAAAGCGTAGCAATGGTTAGAAAATAGCCTATTCATGCCACAGGCCACCACAGGCTGCTTGTGAGGAGTGAGGCCTCAGAAAGAACAGTGGCCATCCACTCCATTTAGCCAGTTTCCTAAGACAAAGTCAAATGAACTGTTCGTCGGTGGACACTTGAGCCGCCAGCCTCCTATCTGACATTCGCTCCTTTTGGAGGACCAAGTTCAGCTTGCCCAAAGCACCCCTACACATCCTGCTCCAATGGCTTGACCGCTTTCCTGCTGTTCTTTTTGCAAAAATATGTTAAAATCAATTTCCTGTGCCTACTAGGGATCTAATAGATAGAGTTCCAGTTCCAGCGAATCCAACTTCCATAAACTTCCATTCAAGATGCTTGGATCATAGCTGCCTATACTGTACCTATGCTACTGATATACTCATTGGCTTCAAAAGGGTGGGCACCGATCTCCACAGATCTCCACTCTCCACGAATCGAGCATCGTTTCGCCGAGCGGACATTCGCTTCTTCGGCCATTTCGCGAGGCGACAGCATCAAAGGCGGGAGCGGCTGAAAGAGCTCTTGAGCCTTTTGGAGGACTTACAGGTGGGAACTTACGGGTGGGTACTGGAGTCAGAGCTGAAACAGCCTGGGAGTCAGAGCTGAAACAGCCTGGGAGTCAGAGCTGAAACAGCCTGTCAGAGCTGAAACAGCCTGGGAGTCAGAGCTGATTGGAAACAAACTTTGGAATCATTGGTGTGAGATGTGAGAGAAAGTATGGCAAGTCATGTTCAGGATCTAGAAACGTTGAAGTCGACCCCTAGCTTTTCAAGTGGTTTTTGATCTTGAATTCACATCACATGGGTTTCCTTGTGAGGAGCATCTCTCAAGACCGCGCTTCGACTCGTAGCCAAGAATGGACGAAGGAAGCATCCTCACAGCCTCACATAGCATCACTTGAGACTTCATACAGTACTATGATGTCTGTATGATGAATGAATATGTATGATGATGATGATGATGATGATGATGATGATGATGATGATGATGATGATG